GGACCAAAGGACATAGCAATTTAACCTACCTTCTTGGAACGCTGGAAGGAAAAATGCCTTTTATTCTTTTAAGCTTCCACAAACTTTGAGAATAAAGCACCAATACTTCAACCAGTTATACCAGCATGCTCCTCATTCTCTAATAGAAAGGTTGGTAAGATTTTGTTAAAGCTTTGAAGTTGGTAAAGGGCCAGCTTCAGGTGGTGAAAGCTATAGGCTTTGCAGGCTATGTGGTTTCTGTTGCAGCTACCCAACTCTATTGTGATAGTGTGAAAGCAGCCACACACAATATGTAAACAAATGAGCCTGGCTATGTCCCAGTGAAATTACTGGGCTGTTGGAAAAGTCTCTTACATAGAAAAAGTATGCCATGACTTTTCCGACAGCACAATATTTATGTGCACTAAATATGAATTTAATAGAATGTTTACGTATCAAAAATTTTGATTTTTCCACTGAAAAATGTAAAATCACTGTGGTCTAATGGTTAAAAGAGCCAGTTTTCATGTAACTGAACACAGTTCAATCCCAGCCTTGGCTGCTTGAAAAACATGCAGAGAACATATACAGTGAGTACCAAAAGTCTCTACAGGATGGAGAAATAGAAGTGACTGCAGTATGATCCATTGGGAGGGTGTTTTCTCTCTCTCTCTAGTGAGTGCATACATCCTCTGATAATTAAAAAGACATTAGATTAAAGAGTTTTAAAAATGTTTTTTAAAATGTAAATGCATTCTTAGCTCTTGGACTGTGAAAAACAGGTAGTGGGATGGATCTGGCATTTGGGCTGTAGTTTACTGATTTTTACTGGAAGACAATCAGATGAGAAAATGAATGTTTCCAGAATTTAGAATTATCTCCTTCTGTAAAAAGTGTATTTCTGGGGCCACCAGGTGGAATGGTGGTTAAGGTGCTGAACTCCCACATAGCTTACTGAAGTTCGAGTTCCGGACCCAGTGCATTGAAACTCATACTGAGTACATGTGCGTGGGTGCCTAAATACCTGAGAGGAAAATAAAGGAGAAGAGATTGCAGCACAGCCATCCTCCACTGGGGGGTGATTTCTCACTTTCTCTCTCAATCTCTGTCTCTCTATCTCTCCTCAGAGAATGCATGAATCCTATGGCAAAAATCTTTTAAAAAGTATATTTCTGTGCATTTATCATAGCCCCTATGACTTTTTGTCAATAATTGTTTTGTGCAGGGATCAGCAGTTGGTGTAATGGCTATGTCGCTGGACTCCCATGTAGTCGACCATGGTTCGAGTCCCAGACCCGGTGGCTTAAACTTATGCTGGGCATATGTGCCTGTGTGCCCAAGATCCTGAGAGAAGAATGGAGGAGAAAGGGACTGCGGCACGGCCATCCCCCCTGGGGGGTGATTTCTCACTTTCTGTCTCTCTCTGTCTTTCTGGCAACTGCATGTGCCCTATAGCAAAAACCTCTCCAAAAAAAAAAAAGTTTTGTGCATTCACAATCCAGATAATGGTGTCCTCTTTAAGACACAGAAATGTGTCATGTACCACCTTTGAGCTCTCACAGAGCATATGTGTTCAAACTGTTTTGACTGAATGAAGCCGAGTGGTAGGGAGAACACAGGTGAATAGGTGAAATGAATTTATTATGGAGTATCATCTATATAGGGCTGGCTTTGTTCTGGTAGAGGGCTGTGAGTTCTGTTATAGACAGCTTGTAATTATTTATGTGTGTTCTCCTTTTCTTTTTCTCCCTAATTATCTTTGTTTCCTTGCTGAATTGCTTCCAAGACAGCTCTTTGAGGACTGGGTATTTATGAAGAACTCTGCACTGCTGAGTCTCAACACAAAAATTAAGGTTTCTGAAAGATGTTTCTTTCCATCTATAATTTATTCATCTTGAAGTGGTTAGAAAAACTGGGAGTATTTTTGCTTGCATTTTTAAAGGCTAAAGCCTTTTTCTCTTTTTTTATTGCTAGAGGGTGCATACACTTGCTGGAGATAGACAGAGAGAAGAGAGAGACTGAGGGAGAAAGCATCCCCCTTCCATGGGGCACAGTCACACCCCAATCTCTTCTCCTCCATTTCTTCATCCTGTCAGGATTTTAAACGTGTGTGCGCACACACACACACACACACACACACCCAGTGCGCTTTTCAAGCCTCCAGGGCCAGGATTCGAACCATGGCTGGCCATGTGGGCTTCTGCTCCCTTAACCACCATGCTAAGGAGCCAGCCCTAAAGACTAAAAAACCTTAAGCCACTTTTTTATTTCCCCTCTGGGTGTGTGGTTCATTTGATTCATAGATAATATGAATTTTAGTCATGTTCCTTTCTTTTGGTTTAGTAATAGCTATACTTTTATGTTTTGTATTTCATGAACTCTTCACAATAATCCTGTGACGTGGGTAGGACACAAACAGAGAAAAGACTTTTTCATGTACAACTGATTTAAAAAATAAGCCAAGATAGTTCAAGCCCTCCTCCCCCAACAAAAACAATGTTGTAGCTCAGATAATTAAGAAGTCAAGGGACGGATCTTTTTTCTATTCATAGTTGAATCTAAAGATTGAAATGACATCATCAGAGTCCCCCATCCAGCTCTCATTTTTGTGTGTAAGTGTGTGAGTTGCAGTCATATTTTCCCTGCTGTAGACAGTCTTCCTTGTAGTTGCTGGAGGTGATGGCCACTAGTAGCCCCAATTCCACATCACCCCAGCATGAAGACACCAATGCGAGACACAGCATTCTCCACTAGTTCTTGTTAGAAGATCCCTAGGGGAGTACTGCAACGATCAGCCCAACCAGGACCACTTGACGAGAGAAGAGCGGATACCTAGAAAGGGATGCTGAGCAGATGCTGAATGTACTGTAAGGTGGGTATGATCATCCCACATGGGAAATGGGGGCACAGAGACATGAAGTAACTTTTCCCCGGCCTTATGTTGGTTGACGGAAGAGGTAAAACAGAAACCCCTATGTCCTCACTCACACCGTATGTGATACCTTTGCTCTTGCCTCTGTATGCAGCCACGTTGCTTGTTTGGTGGATGTATCTTTATCCCACCATTTTAAAATAAAAGCTAAGCCCACAAGTTTTTGTAAACACAAGTTTTTATAAATGTAATTTTATTCCATCGATTCCTTTGTCATTTGCATATGCACCAATTACTTCATTCAAGGAACCATAATTATACCTGCCTTGTATGTCTCAGTAATTGTTAAAAGAATCTAATGGTTCTTTGTAGCTTCAGTTTTGTTTTGTTCTTGCTCCCTCATTAAGAACATTTTATACACCATTTTTTGTAAAGAGATATTTTTGTTACAGGATGTGTGTGCTCGCTGGAGAGAGAGCGGAGACAGACAGAAAGCAAGAAATCATCCCTTAGGAGAATGGCCACGCTGCAATCCTTTCTCCTCCATTTTCCTCTTGGGATTTGGGGCACACACGCACACAAGCCTGGTGTAAGTTTTAAGGCACTGGATCTGGGACTTGAACCGTGGTCAAGCAAATGGGAGTTCAGCAAGGCAACCTTTACACCATCTGCTGGTCCCACCACCAATATTTCTTCTAAAAATTTGTTTCTTCCATGAGTGAGACACCCACACACCCACACAGGTGTAAGGGCACTCCTCAATAAGGCCCTCACTCTGCTATTTGTCCTCGGCTTCAGCCAGCTCCGGATCATGAGCGCATGTGGAATGTCCAGGGAGACCTCCAGTCACCAAGGCAGCATTTTCATGCAGGTCAGCCTCACACAGTGTTACACCAACCCTGAGCCCTACAGCCCCGCATACCAGAATTTTAAATCTTTTTAAAAGGTCAGTCTTTAGACAAAATTTGAATAAACATACATTGACAGGCAATTCTTCCTTTTTCCATCATTTATTGCCTGGCGTTTTTTGTGATAGGCATATACATAATGAAACCATTTATTGTCCAAGTGTCTCATCTTTAAACAGGAAAGTAATTGATTTGCTGGAGAGAAGCCTTGATCAAGTGCCTGGCTTTGTCAATTACTAGTTGTATGGCTACCAACAACTGGCCTAAGCCCTGAGCCTTAATTCTATCCTCACTTGCAAAGGGTAGATAGTATTCGCGTTCTATTTTGGTGCTTTTAATAAGAGTGTGGGCTGAAATCTTTTGTAAGTTACAAAATGGCATATAAATGTCAGCACTTATGTGCTTGCCTAAAACCCAGTTTTTCTTATGAGCTCAAAACGGAGAGACGTGAAAACGCTTAGCTTTCAATAGGGAAAAAATGAGTCCGTTTTCTAGAAAACAACTCGGAACGTCTTAATTGGGAAACACGCACACAGACCACACACAACTGGAAAGCAAAAGTTTTTCTACGTTCCCAGAAAATTTTTATATTTTATGTTGTGCCTGGTTTTTCGTACCTCTGTCGTTCATCGAAATGTCTCTTTTTAAAGCAAGGAAACTACAGTGACAAAACCATTTCCACCTCCTCACTCATTACAGATTTTCCTTTCCAGATCTTTTCCAGACACAAGGACGTTTCCAGCGCCAGGCGAGCCCGGACGCCACCCAGCGGTGCGCAGCGCCACCTCCTGGCGCGTGGGCAGAGCCCGCCCGCTGCCAGCGGCTGGGCCGGCTAGTTGTTTGACGGTCTCTGTGGCTCAGGGGACACTCCGAAACACCTCGGGTGGTTTCTGTACTGCACGGGCTGGGGAAGTCCTGACCGCGTCGCGTACCTGAGCGAAGGCGTCACCAGAACAGGAGGCGGGGCGGGGCGTCCCTGTTTCCCACACCTCGCTCCTGGAAACCAGTCGGCTCTGCGGGCGGGACTACGGCCTGAGGGCGGGGCTTAGCTCCGCACGAACCGTGCTGGTTGGGTAGAACCCCAATCAGGGGGCGGGGCTACAACTTTTGGGCAGCGTCTTGACTGGCTCCCTCTCCCGGAACTTCCGGGACCGTGTGCGTGCAGCTGGTGTCACCTGGAGCTTGAGGAGCTGCACGCGGGTGTCCGGGGTCTGGTAAGAGGGGAATGAAGTTTTCCCGCGGGCTGGCGGGAAAGTTTTCGGGAGTTCAGGCAGGTTCAGGCCCGCCGGTGCCGAAAGGCTCGGTTCCGTCGCCTTCTGCTGCGGACAGCCCTACTCGGCAGCGCGTCTGCTACTGCAGGCCTGGGGGTGCCTGTTGGGCCCTCATCCGTTCGCTGGGTCCCAGTTTTTGTGTCTAAGATCTTAGCGTTCACGTGGTTGTCAGAGGCGTTTCCTATTCACTCAGGTAGGGTAGTACCTTCACGAACCTTCTGAATGTCCCCATTTGTCTGCTGTCGCAGTTCCTACCGTGATGTATGCTTATATTCTATGTATAAATTATATGTCGCATTATATGTATTATTCCTGTCATTGTATGTGTACGTTCCAAAGATAGTAACCGTCATTATTATGCCTGTGTTCCATGTATGTGTATCTTATGTGTATATATACATGTATTTGTTTTTGTACACTTCTCATGTAATTGATTATGAATTCTAGATGACAACGATTGGATTTTGCTTACTATTGGATTTTAGGTTACTTAACTTGAGGGGTTTTATTATGATTTGATTCTGTAAAATTATGTATTTTTCTACTGCATTTTCTTTAAGGCATAAGAACATTATTAGGGTTCAGAAGCCTTGCTGTTTAAGTAGTTTCCCAAGACTACATTGAAGGAGGATATAAATTTCAAGTAAGTGATACCATGCGAGCAAAGGAAAGAAAGGCAAAAAGTTCAAGGTGTTTTCAGAGGACAATTAACAAACTAGGCTGGCTTGTGCAGTGTGTATAGAGAAGAGAGCAAGATACATTTGACAGATTTAGGGTACCTGTAAAATGCAAGGCCGAGGTATAATGACCTTTTGGCATGGGGAGAGTCACTGAAGGTGTTTAACATGTGGAAGGTTCTACTGTGCAGATGGCTTAAGCCAAAGGTTGGCAAACTTTCTGTAAAAGACCAGACAGTGACTAGTTAGGGCTTTGTGAGCCATGGCTGTAACTGCAGAAGGCTAGAGACAGTACATAATCAAATGAATATAGCTGTGTTCCAATAAAACTTCACTAAAAGAGGTAGTTGCCTGGCCTGATTTGATCTATAGGTATAGTTTGCCAGCCCATGGGCTAAAGAAATGATCCTACATAGTGCCACAGTAACAGACCTGAACTAGAAAATACTTTTTGTTTTGTTATAATTTACTGTATGGGCATGTGCACTCGCTGGAGAAAGAGTGGGAAAGTGAGAAAGCACTCCCCAGGGCAGATGGTCACTCTGTAATTCCGTCTCCATTATCCTCTTGAGATTTTGAGCACACAGGCATGCAGGCAGGCCCAGCATGTTCCTCAAGCTGCCAGATCTTAACCACAGTGCTACCAGTTGGCCCTGTCTTGCTTTATTATGAGAGGCAAGATCACATAATGTAAGTGCTGATGTCTGACTGGCTTTAAATCTTGTCCCATGGTTACCAACAGCAAATTACTCTCTCTCTGCATCAGCCTTTTTTTTTTTCTTCTGTAAAATGGGGATAACGGCACCTCCCACAAAGGGCCGTTGTGAGGAGTAAATGAGTTAAAGTACATAAAGTATTAGCAAAATGCTTGTACATACAGTAAAAGCTCAATAAAAAATAACTATTAATTTTTTTAAATTGTTCTTCACATATACTATTAAAGACAGATTTGAGAGTTGTTTCTATGGTAGAATTTATAAGCTTAATGCATGTTTGGCCAGAGAGCAAAGAAAATACAAAGCAAGAGCTATTCATATATAGGCAATAAGGAAATTGTGAAAGTAAAGAACAGAGGGAGGTAGGAAGTGGAGGATTAAGGACTGATATGGATGGGGTGCCTTGTTGGGGTTACTATTAGGAGATGAAGTACGAAGAATGAAGAGGAATCTTAAAAAAAACGTAGTCCCTGAAGGGGACCAGCAGTTAGTGTAATGGCTATGTTGCTGAACTCCCATGTAGTTGACCGTAGCTTGAGTCCCAGACCCGGTGGCTTAAACTCACGCTGGGTGCCTATGCGCACGTGCCCAAGATCCCAAGAGGAGAATAGAGGAGAAGGGATTGTGACATGGCCATCACCCCTGGGGGTTGATTTCTCGCTTTCTGTCTCTGTCTCGCTAGTGCACGTGCCCTGTAGCAAAAACCTCTCTTAAAAAAAAAAAAAAAGTAGTTCCTGAAAGTATGATAGGAACCAGAATAATATGTAGACTAGTAGAAGGATGGAGGTGGTGGTGGTGGTGGTTAACACTGTCAGATCTGCAGTTAAAAATAGTAGTTGTGTGGATAATGAATAATTAATTCAATCAGCAGACATAAATTGTGTGCCTCCTATGGGCCAGGTGCTGGGAATGTAAAAAAGAATTGGATATATATGTTGTACTCAATGAGTAGAAAATCTATGAATAGTAGGAGTGAAAGACTTGGAAATAATTGAATACATATGGCAATTTAAAAAACAATTAGGAGGGCCAGCAGATGTGTAGGGGTTGGGGTGCTGGACTCCCACATGGCTGACAGTTGTTTGAGTCCTGGACCTAGTGACTTGCTTTCTTACTTTGTCTCTCTCTGGTAAGTATGCCCTGTGGCATATTAAAAGGTAATAAAATGATAAATTTAAATAATTTTTAAAAATTAGGAATAAGATGGCCTTTCTTAGACTTCATTGTACTTTTACTTTAAAACAGTATCAGTTCATTACAGTTTACAAATGTGGGCAGATTCATGAAACCTCTTATTCTTTCTTTCCTAGACAATGGCCAAGAACAAATTTAGAGGTCAGAAGTCCAGGAATGTATTTCACATAGCCAGCCAAAAAAACTTCAAGGCTAAAAACAAAGCAAAACCAGTTACTACAAATCTTAAGAAGGTGAGTATTACTTAAGCACTCTCTTGGTAGTGTTTATAAGCAAAGCATAGTTAAAACTATTCATTAGTTAAAGCTACTGAACAGGGCCAGCAGGTGGCATGGAGGTTAAGGTGGCTGTATCCCCACATGGCTAGCTTCATCAAGTCCCAGACTTGACTTGAAATCATACCAGGGGGAAAAAAAAAAAAAAAAAAAGGCATGGTATTGGGGCCAGCAGGTGACATAGTGGCTAAAGGCACTGGATTCCCACATGACTCACCACGGTTTGAGTCCCAGATTTGGTGGCTTCGTCTTTTATTTTTTCTTTCTCTCTGTCTCTGGTCAAATTAAAAAATGATAATGACGAATGGAAATAAATAAATAAATAAATAAATATTTTAAAAAATGGTATGAGAAGCAGTTCTTATCTCTGAACTCAAATATTTCAAGAACCTATTAACAGAGCCAAGATAGAGTGTTAGCACCAATTATTTTTTCTCCTCAGTAATTCTTATTCCTTGAAAGATATCTGGAACTCAAACAAAAACCTATAGTGAAGATAAAAATACTAAGTTGTGAGAAAAGTCATGACGCATTTTTACACAGAAAAAAAATGCGTCGTGATTTTTCTGACAACCCAGTATTTTCTTCTCTCTCTCTCTCTCTTTTTCTTTGGTTTGTTGTAGGGTGCATGTGCTCAACAGAAAGAGAAGGGGGAAAGTGAGAAATCATCCCCCCATGGGATGATTAGTGCTGCAACCCCTTCTCCTCCACTTTTCTCTCACAATTTTGGGCACCTACGCACATGCATACAGGGTGATTTTTGAAGCTAACAGGTCTAGGACTTGAACCACACAGTTGGCCATGTGGAATCCAGCTGCCTTAACCTGCTGCTGACCGAAAATATTTTGTTTCTTAAAATCCAAATTTTGAAAAAGGGTTTATCATCTTTGTTTTTATTTTTGAAGTATTTGAGAAATTTCTTCATCAAGATTAGGTGGTTTAAGAAAATTCTTTAAGGAAATGTTTTTAGGTTTTAGTAGTTGAAATCAATTCTCCAGGACTAATTATGTAAATCCATAGAGATATAACATGTTATCTTTCAACTTTCATGAGCTAAGGTGAATTAAGCTTTTTGATGAGTTTTGTGACTTTGTAAATGCCATAAAGGAAAAAAAAAAACAGCTGGGTGATATGATGGGAGCCTGTGGGTGACAGTTTACGTAGACTCAAATGACGACCTGGTAATACGAGGAGTTGGAGTGTTGAGAACAGCACGTGCTAGACAGAGAAACAGCAAGTGCATAGGCACCTGAAGAGAAGCTTGGTGTATTTGGGGACTGTTTCGTTCTTAAGGGAGGAACTAGAACTTTTATATATGCTTATGCTGATGGGTAGAATCAAAAAGAGAGATCTGTGAGTAGGCAGTATGGTCAGAGAAAACATCGGATGTTTTTCTCAGATGTTTTGACTTAGTAGGGGGATATCAGAAGATTGCCAGATATCAGTATTATAAGCTGATATTCATGGTCATGAATTTAAAGTGAGGCCAGTTAGACAGTTGATTTTCTACATAAACTTCTAGGCTTAGAAAAGGGGTTGTTTGGTTCATTTAGATTGCCAAGCATGATTGATCAAGAGAGAGAAGAAAGTGAAATGTATAAATAAGTGGGCCAGCCCATAGTTTGGTAGTTAAGGCATTTAGATCCCATGTGGCCAACTATGCAGTTCAAGTTCTGCACTCTCCAGCTTGGAAGACCACACTGGGCATGTATGTGTGTGCACACCTAAAATCCTAAAGAGAGGGAGAGATAAAGGAAAAGGGATTGTGGTGTGATCATTCCCTATGGGGCATGATTTCTCATTTTCTATCTCTCTCCCCACCAAACATGTGCCCAGCCCACTGACAAATTTTTTAAAAAAGAAAAAGTACAGAGAAGTCACTGATGAAATCATGGCCGTGGAATCAGTGCTGGCTGACAAAAAAAGTGAAGCTATGAAGTTGGTGGGAAAAAGTTGCATAAGGTTCAAGAATTGTGGACCATCATTTGGCACAGTGGTTAAGGTTCTAGACTCCCACATGGCCATATGCAGTGTGAATCCTCGACTGGCACCTTGAAAATCATGCCAGGCATGTGCACTTGGATGCCCAAAATCCCAAAATGAGAATGGAGGAGGGATTGTGGTGTAGCCATCCTCCCTGGGAGGTGATTGCTCACTTTCCCTCTGTCTCTCTCTCTGGCAATGCACATGCCTTGTGGCATAAAAAATCTTAATAAACTAAGTGACTTATAAGGGGCGGAGGTGGTGCAGTTACAAATAGTGACAAAGTCCAAGGTTTTCCACAGTAGATTGCTGAGGTAGGTAACAGAAAAGGCCCCTAGAAATGAGGACCTCAACAGATTCAGAGGCCATGGAATTGGATTTTTGCTTAAACTACTCAGTGACACCAACTATGAGGGAAGCTAGCAAGCCAAGGTTTGAAATATTCCACGAAGGAACAAGTAATCATGGTGTTAGTAGTTGACAGCAATGAGGAAGGGGTACCAGAATATTCTCATGCATGACGTGCAAAGGAGCTGAGGGTTTTGAAGGATCAATTAGTAGCAGTACATAAGTATAAGAACACCACCTCCACCTCTTATACTTCAAAGAGGACTGAGAGGGAGCTGTCCTTAGGACTGCCAGGAGTTCCATTAAGATAAGGTCAAGGAAAGATGCAGAAATATGTTGTTAGAAGGGACTAAAAAGGGGCCAGGTAGTGGTCATGCAACTGTCCCACACGAAAAAGGCTCTGGGTTTGCGTATGTGTGCTGGGTCTCCTGTGCGTGCTGGGTGCCCATGCCTGTGATCCTGGCCAACTGAGACTGGGAGTGTAACACAGCTTGAAGACCCAGCTATGGGTCTCTCTCTCTCTCTCATGAGAGAAGTACAACTTTTTGAAAAAAAGTTAGTAAAAACACTTGAAACATCCAGGCTTCTTGTTTTACAAAAGAGGGACAAACATTAGCACCACAGCCTTAGAAAGACTGTGGTCACATATTTGATCTGCTTATGCCACTGAAGCTTAGATATGAAGTATATTTACATAAATGTTCTTTTAAAAAATTAAAACCTTTGGACTGAAATGTCCTAATAGATTGTAACAATTTAAGTATGTAAGAATTTAAGTATGATTATCTCATCAAAGTGGTAGTTATAAGAGTTTTCTTAGACTTTTAAGTTTAACAAAATTAAAATTAAAAATTATCGGGACCAACCAGCACATTGCTTGACTCCCACATAGTCTAAAGTGCAAGACCTGGCAGCTTGAAAACTCACGCCAGGTATCTGTGTGCATGCCCAAAATGCCAAGAAGAGAATGGAGGAGAAAGGATTGAGAAATGGCTGTCCCCTCTGGGGGCCGGGAGGGGGGGGTGAGGTGATTTCTTGCTTTCCATCTGGCTCTTTCTCTGCCTCTCTGGTGAGTGCACGTGCCTTATAGCAAAAATGTCTCTTAAAAAATATCTCAATCATTATATTACAGGTTAATGACCCTTTTCTTTTTCTTTTTTAAAAGATAAACATTGTGAATGATGAAAAAGTTAACAGAGTGAATAAAGCTTTTGTAAATATACAGAAAGAACTGGCACACTTTTCAAGAGGCCTTTCTCTTGAACCTCTACAGAAAGATCTGGTAAGTAGAAATAATTTATTGTTACATGGCGGTGTAGGCAGCAGTGTATAGATCTGCAGTGCTTTAAGCCATTAAGCCACATGGCTAATTCTTGGTTTATGTCCCGAGTCATCCTAAAACCCACTGGGCATGCATGCACCCCAAATCCTGGCTAGCTGGAGGAAATGGATCACAATATGACAGAACTCTATCAAAGTGTGCCTTCTACCTTGAAAGAGATGTTTTAAATTTTTAAAATTTAATCTCCAGGGTCTAGCAGGTGGCATGGTAGTTAGGGCTCTGGATTCCAACATGGCCAACCACTGTTCAAGTCCCAGACCGAGTGGCTTGAAAATTACCTGGGCAAGCAGGCTTGTGTGCCCAGAATTCCAAGAGAATGGAGGAGAAGGGATTGTGTGTGAACATCCCCCTGGGGGTGGGGGTGATATCTTGCTTTCTCTCTCTTTGCCTCTCTCTGACAAGTGCATGCACCCTGTGGCAAAACAAAAAAATCTGATAAAACCTAAAAATAATTAAAATCCAAATTTTCAAGGCCAATAAGTGTGATTTGTAGTATTTAGCTCTAGTATACTTAGCTATACAGGATGTATAGCATATTCGGCCATATCCGGCCTCTAAAACATTGAGTCTTAATATAAGAATTTATTGTTCTACTCCTAAAGATATGACTGAAAAAATTAAATTTGATAACAGATTATGTTATTTCTGTTTGCTGCTATTACCCATACTTTAAATATAATACTTTTCTGCCTGCAGGTTCCTCAGCGACATCTTGAAAATGAACCTGTTAATGTTGATGAAGCTACAAGATTAATGGCTCAGTTGTAATGTAGTGATGATATATCAAAGTACCCAAAAAGTTCAATAAATTAAATGTTTTATACAATTTTATTTTTAAAAATCTTGTTAATGTACAGACATTGGCACATTTTAAAAACAAACTACATAAACAGATCTTTCCTATAATCTAGGAAAGTGGAATGTCAGAAGTCAACAAAATGTGATAAACTTAAAGTGCTAAAACAGAAGGCACTTCACAAAATCTGTTCACTGAAACAGTTGCATACCTCATTTACATCCTTCACTTTATAAGTGGCAGTGAATGTCTATCTGGATTGAAGGACTTATCGAAAATACAGTCTCATGGCAGTAAAAATATAGAACAAATGAGAGAAGCCCTTGGTCTGCTTTTTGCTGATGACTCAAGTCTACTTTAACTTTCCTCTCATAAGAGGAAAAAACAGAAGGATTCAGAATTGGAAGAAAAGTTGAAATCCCAGACTGTAATTACTTGGTGAGTTGGGAGGTTGGGTAGATATTAAGTCACTTTTCCCCGAAAGCAATCAGAAACCTTTGTTTTTATGGTTGAAGTTTTGTGAAGTAAAAAAGAAAGTATTAGGGAAGAACACTTCAGAATCAGTGAACTAAAAAAAGTGTTACATTCATTATTTTAAATACTTAGGTTATTAAGAAATCTAAAATGTTACACAGTTAGAGGTAGATAAGAGTCCCAAGTTTCCATGGAATCTAATAATTTAGTATCTGGACATCAAACAGATCACAAACTCCTTCATTATCATCTAAATTAAAGTTGTAGTCATCTGCGGGGGTAGGAGAAAGCCGTAAGAGAGGAAACACTGCAATAGAAACACGTAATGTCAAAGATGATTTCTACACATAGGTAATGATACTGCATATAAAATACTCTCAAATACGTCAAACAAAATTGTTTTCTATATTCCATATTAGTTTTTAAAATACATATAGTACTGGTCAAATTAATTGTGCTTAGTGGATATCTTGGAAGATTCTCATTTAAATAGTTTATATTGTACATTGATTATTGGTATTAGCTTGAGTAATAGAGGTTTTTTTTTCATTGGTTGAATTTGTCACTAAAATAATGTGATTTAAAAACACTGGTCGTGGGCCAGCAGATGGCACAGTTGTTAAGGCACTGGACTCCTACATGGTGGACTATAGTTCCAAGTCCTGGACCTGGTGGCTTAAAACTCAGGCCAGGTGGGTGTACCTGCATGCCCAAATCTAGAGGAGAATGGAGGACAAGTGATTACAGCATGGCCATCCCTCCAGGGAGTCATTTCTCTCTGTCTCTCTCTTCCTGTCTCCAGCAAGCGCACCTATAGTGAAAATCTCTCTGGGAGGAAACAGGACACACTGGTCAAATATTTTGCTGGCTAACATGAAAACAGGTCTGTACTAGCTAGTTCATTTGCTATTTATCCTCTACATAAATATTTAAGGCAGCCAGATCCCATGTGGATGAATGCAGTTTAAAACCTACACCCAGTGGCTTAAAAACACATTGGGCATGTATGTCTGTGTGCTCAAAATCCCAACGGGTTGAAGAAATGGAGGAGAAGGGATTGTTATGTGACCGTGCCCCATTGGGGGTTACTTTCTCTTTCAGTCTCTGTCCCTGTCTCTTTGCCAAGCCTATGTGCCATTTGGCACAAAAACATATAAATGGCCACTCCACACAGTAACAGCTTGAAATTATCCATGGTAGGGTATTAACAAAATTGGGTTTTCAGATCACCTGTTGAGTTAGATATATCTCACTTTTCTTGGGTCAGATCCTTGTGCCAACAATTTAAATGGTTCAATGGGACAGGCAGATGGTGTAATGGATATGTTGCTGGACTCCCACAGAGTTGACCATGGTTCGAGTCCTGGACCTAGCGACCTAAAACTCAATGCCAGGCGCATGTGTACTGCATGCCCAAAATCTCAAGAGAACGGAGAAAGGATAGCTGTGTGGCCATCCCCCCAGAAGGGGTGTGATATTTTGCTTTCTGTCTGTCTCTCTCCCTGTCTCTCCAGCGAGCCTGTGTGCCCTATAGCAAAAACCTCTCAAAAAAAAAGTTTTTTCAATGAATGTGACAAACACCCTGTTATGAATTCTTTCCCCCTCAACATGCAGGCAAAGAAAAATACACAGTGAAGGATGCCTGTGGTTTACTCTGAAGTATTATTAAGGGAGACTTTTTCATGATTCATTGTAGTAAAGTAGTTAGAAAACAAGTTCTTCAGTTCTTTTAAATCATGTGTAACTTACAAATTCTAAGAGACCATTATTGATATATAGCTAGCCAAATTTTAAAATACTTACCATCAGAAGACATTAACTCATCAATGATATCTCCACTAATAGATCCTGCTAGAAACAGAAATGTGATAAAGATTTGTTACATTTCTGTTCACATATTTTAAAAGTAAAAGGTAGTTAATATTTAAATGCAGGTAGAATCATCAACAGCTTGATTGACAGTGCAAAATTAAAACTAGAATTCTGTGGAAAGATCACATCATGAGCACATACTCTGAACCTGGCCCTGTTTTTAAACTTTCAAACTCAAGATGTAGCTCAAAAGACTTGTCAACATCCTTCTGAAACAGACGGTTTCATTCTCAGTGTTTACTGTAATTCTTCCAGTAGCCCAACCTTAAAACTTCATCACAGGGCGGGCAGGTGGCGTGGTGGTTGAGGTGCTGGACTCCCACGTGGACAACCACAGTTTGACTCTTGGATCTGGCGGCTTGCTCTCTCACTTTCTCTCTCTTCTCCTCTCGTCAAATTAAAAAAATAATAACAAATCAAATTAATTAAATATTGTTTTAAAAAAGACTTCATCTGGTACCAGCAGTTAGCATAATGGCTAAGTCGCTGGACTCCCATGTAGTTGACCATGGTTCAAGTCCTGGACCCGGTGGCTTAAAACTCACGCTGGGCACGTGTGTGTGCATGCCCAAGATCCTGAGAGGAGAATAAAGGAGAAGGGATTGCGGCGTGGCCATCCCCCCTGGGGGGTGATTTCTCGCTTTCTGTCTGTCTGGTGAGCACATACGCCCTACAGCAAAAACCTCTCCAAAAAAAAAAGAAGAAAAAAAAAAAGCATCACTTGGGCCAGCAGGTGGAATGGTAGTTAAGATGCTAGATTCCCACATGGACTATCACAGTTTGAGTCTTAGATCCGGTGGCTTAAAATAACAATCAGTTTTAAGAAAAAAACTATCACTCCAGAACTCCATTCTCCCTGTTAACTTTACCTCCAAACCTCACACATCAACTGCTAATTATTTTGTCCACAGAATATTTCTTAAATTTGATCATTATTTCTCTTTCCAATCTCACTGTCATCGTCCCATTTTAACCTTGATGTTCCTTCGCGGTTGCAGAGCTCCAAGCTCCGACATCTAGTCTTCAGTCTCCATAGTCTCTGGTATATCTGTTTCTCAGGGCCAAGAGCATCTTCTTTCCTAATCATGTTACTGTCTGTGCTCACCACTGGATGGTTCTAATTGGGCTGTTTTCCTGGGCAAAAATCTTCACTGGCTTGTCAGCTAAAGTTCTGAATCTTTAGTCTGATGTTAAAGCCCCTTGCTAATCTGGCTGAAAATTATTTTCCTTCTATTTCCAAATGTAAAACCATATATAGAAATATTCATTTTTTTAATGCTTTGTGAAAGCAAAGGAATTATGTCTACACTAATCCATATAACGCATACCTGCTTTAATCATCCCAATTAGATGATACGATTTTTAAAGATAACATCTATCGTACATCCCCTCCCCATGACCTACAGTATAGAAGTACTTGTAGGGGAAGGAAAGGAGGGAAGGGTATGGGTCACAAGAAGATGGAAAGTATCCCATGTCCACAGGCCAGTTCCACAGTGCAGCAGTAATGTGCTGCTCAAGAGAAGCTGGACCCCACCTAACAGCCACAGTATGAACACTCAGCTCAGTTGCCCTGCAAACTGGGCACACATGTGCGTGCCCAAGGTCCGACAGACCGGAAGAATGGAGAGAGGATGGCTGCATGCCCAGACCCTGTGGAGGGTGCTCATCTCATGTCCTCTCTCACATTTACACACACTATAGTGAATAAAGAAAATTTTCCTGGGACCAGCAGTTGGTGTAACGGCGATGTTGCTGGACTCCCAAGTAGTCAACAACAGTTTGAGTCCTGAACCTGGTGGCTTAAACTCACACTGGGCGCGTGTGTGTGCGTGCCCAAGATCCTGAGAGGAGAATGGAGGGGAAGGGATTGTGGCATGGTCATCCTGCAAGGGGGTGATTTCTCGCTTCCTGTCTCTGCATGTCTAGTTAAATAACTTCACTTTTAACTGCTGTGAACTCCCAGAGTAGTAAACAATGAGACACAATAAGACACATCTCATACATTAAAAATAAAGAGTTTAGGGGCCAGCAGATGGCATAATGGTTACATTGCCAGACTCCCACAGAGTTGACTGTGGTTGGAGTCCTGGACCCACCAGCTTAAGCTCACACCGAACATGTGTGCATGCATGCCCCAAATAGAGGAAAAGGGATTGTGGTGTGGCCACCCCCCTTGGGTGGTGATTTCTCACTTTCTGTCTCTCTGTCTCTGGCAAGTACACGTACCCTATAGCAAAAGTCTCTCTCCAAAAAAACAAAACAAATAGGTTAGGTACAATACAGTTTTGAATGATCTATATATACTATGATGTCTATATTGGCACAACTAATTCATTCTGCAATTACTGAGACAGACTGTTCCTTTATTTGGAATCAGTAAAGAACTGCTAAAGACCTATCCATGTAACCAGGGAAAATGATGGGAGCCAAGGGAATTTTTATAAATTCAGAAGTTGTGTTCTCAGCCAGCTGGTGGCAGGGTGGCTGGGGCAGTTGGATCCCACATGGCCAACTGCATGGTTCAAGTCCTGGACACAATGGCTTGAAAACTACACTGAGGCATGTATGTGTGTGTGTGCCCAAAGTCCTGAGAGGAGAATGGTGGAAAAGGGATTGCAGTATGGCCATTGCCCATGGGGGGTGGTTTCTCTCCAGCCCCGCCCTGCCCTGGTAAGTGCATGTACCCTATGGCAATCCAAAAAAACCTCAAAAAAGCTGTGGTCCCTACTCCTAAAGCCCAGCTTTTAGTGTTTAGCTATTTAACATTTCATATAGAAAACCATTTAGAAAGGCAAGATTCTGTACATAATAGGAGTTGAGACCATTTATCAACACTGTAAAACTAAGCTTCTAATATAACAAGTATAATAGAAAATATGGAGAAATGGGGCACAAATCACAATTTATTTACTAATCTGACTTTCCTTAAAGGTAATTAGAACATATTTCACTAATTTATCCTACAGTTATGACATGAGAAAAGAACCTTACAAAGTAAACTTCAGATAAACGCAGACATTTGTAAATAGTAAAAGCGGATAAAAACAATTTTGACTTACTCCCAAAAATGGAATCTAAGAGGGACCAGCAGTTAGCATAATGGCTATGTCGTTGGACTCCCATGTAGTCGACCGTAGTTCACGTCCCGGACCCAGTGGCTTAAAACTCACGCCGGGCACGTGTGCGTGCATGCCCAAGATCCCAAGAGGAGAATGGAGGAGAAGGGATTGCAGGGTGGCCATACCCCCTGGGGGGTGATTTCTCGCTTTCTGTCTCTGTCTCTCTGGCGAGGGCACGCGCCCTATAGCAAAAACCTCTTTAAAAAAAAATAAAATGGAATCTAAGAAAATCAGCAAACCCTGGCCCATACATCCCTTTTCCTTCGTACTCTTAGTTCCATACAGCCTTAACCAAATTTTAGTGGACTTGATAGGATAGTTCTTTATTGTGTCTATCTCTGTTTATTTGTATGTGTGTGTATCTAAGAAATAAATCTGTAACAGTAAAGACAGGATCTGTTTTTAATTTTTTCTTGTAATACCTATCTGTCGTTCATTCTAAATTAATGCTTGATTAAATTAAATGTGCTGTAGCGAAAGTGAGTGTAGAAACCAGATTGTATGAGGCCGGGAGTGGGGGAGGGTCAATGCATAATGGAAGATGGGTGGGAGCGACCCAAGGAAAGAAAGCATTTAACAGACACAAGGATGCAAGGTTCTTTGTTGAAAAGGGTATGTATATGGTAGTATTCTTGATTGATCATCATCCACTGCATGTGTGCTTTGAAAAATCATACTGTATGCCATAAAGAGGTACATCAGTTAAACGTAAATAAGAAATGGAATTGGAAGAAAAAACAACAAAAGAAATGTACCATTTTGCCTTCTATATCAGATAACAGAATTACATCACAACTGACACATTCAGAAAAGTTCTCCAAGTTGTAAGTATTCATATTTTTTCCTCTACTTTTTAAAACAAAGGTTCTGAACCCACCTGACGATATGTCCGTAGCTGGTGTCTGCTCAAGATTCTGGCTCCTTTCAGAGACATGCTGCTCAGGCAGATTCTGAGGTGCCGTGTTGGGTTTCTGTGGTGTCAGTGGGGCCGAGGACTGAGAGGAAGGTTGTGTGAGGTCATCAGGTGGGGGAACAGGGAAAACCACAGGCTTCGATGAACCGGACTCTTTATTTATAAGCAGCACGTGGATAGGCCCTGAATGACTCTTTAGATTGATCTGGTATTTCTTTTGTCCATTCTGGCCCTTTGAAGTTATTGGGTATAAACAAGTAAATAAATATTAGTATTTCTAGCTACTGTGAAACATTAAAAATTAGGCAAAGTTAGTAGGGGTTAACTAACGTCACACGACCCAAAAAAATATACTCAAGTCAAAATATGGGAACAGAGACCAAGAATAAAATGGGATATTAAGGGTTCTAAACCACTTGCCCCTAAAACATAAGGTGTTCTCAAACATAGATCAAAATCTCCCAGTCGTAGAATTCTGGCAACCATTCATGTTGACTATGTGTAATTACATGTGTCAGTGCTCAGCAATACTCCTTCACATACATGAGCTCTGTCCCCTGGAGTCGGCCATCATAGATATGTCATCTAGACATGCTGTCTTAATTTATGACCATCTCACAAATCAAAAAAAGTTTTTCCATCATACAAGCACAGACAACTGATTTTTTCTACAAAGAATGCATTTAAAATGTCTCCAATTAGAAAATGTAAATCTAGGACCACTAGGTGATATGCTTGAAGCAGCTGGATCCCACATGGCCAACTGCAGTCGAGTTCCAGACCCAGTGGCTTGAGAAACATGCTGGGCGTGTGCTCATGCGTGCCCCAAATTCCAAGAGGCCAGTGTGGGAGAAGGAACTGTGAGCAGCCTTTCTCCCTGGGGGGTGGTGGGGCAGTGATTTCTTTCCCTCTTTATCTCTAGCTAGCACTTGCACCCTATAGCAAAAACAAAAACAAAAAAGAGGCTTTAGAATCCAGTAATGGGGCCAGCAGGTGGCGAGGTGGTTAAAGACGCTGGACTCCCACATGGCCAACCATGGTTCGAGTCCTGCACCTGGTGGTTTGCTTTCTCAGTTTCTCTTTATCTCTGTTCACTCCTCTCTCTCTGTGTCCCTCTATGGTCAACTTAAAATAAATAAATAAAGTGAAATATAGTAATTAAATAAAAAGAATCCAGTAATAATAAATGACTAAATATAACTTTTTCTTTTCTTTTTTTTTTTTTTTTAATTGCCAGAAGATGTACACACTTGTCAGAGAGAGAGAAAGCACCTTATAATTGGTAGTGGTCAGGCCAATCTTTTTTCCTCCATTTCTCCATCCCATCAAGAGTTAGGGCATGTATGTACCCAACCTGTTTCTCAAACAAACCACTGGAGCTGGGATTTGAACTGCCATAGGCCATGGCAGTTCAGATTTAGCTCCCTGTACAGCACTTCGGGCCGGCACCCTAAATATAACTTTTTAGAAGGGCATAAGGTGTAAATAAAATAGTAATCTCTTTCTATTCCCTGTTTTGGTTGTTTCAGCTTTCACCCAGTTTGTTTTGGAAATCTACTGGGCTGTCAGAAAAGTCATGACATGTTCTTCTATGCAAAATACATCATGGCTTTTCCAATGACCCAGTAAAGCTAAAAAACTAAAATAATTAAACTTATATGTAGCACAGAGTCAATTAATATCTTTGACTCAATAAGAAAAAAAAAATTTTTTTAAACAAACAAACCCGACTGGGTCCAGCTCTGTGACACAGTGGCAATACACTGAACAAGCCAGATCCCACTGTCAGCCTGAAAAGCACCAGGTACACATGCACAAATGCCCAGGTCTAACAGTGGGGAGGCCAGAGGAAAGGATCACAGTGTGACCAGACCCTGCAGAGGGTGTTTGTGCTCCTCTCTCTCATACTCTTATATATGCATGCACTCGCTCCACCACGAATAAAGAAAAACAATTTTATAAGACTTAGTTGAAAGTAATCAATTGTTGATATTTACATTGAACGGTTCCTGCAATTGGGATTTTTATCTTAGCTATAAATGTGGTCATTTTAGTTGACTTTTAAAAGATTATTGGCTGGGCCAGCAGGTGACATGGTGGGTAAGCACTGGACTCCCATATGACTGACCATGGTTCAACTTCTGGACCCCACAGCTTGAAAATCATGCTGGGCACACGGGTGTGCACACCCAGAATCCTGAGGAGAATGGAGAAGGGATTGCAACATAGCCATCCCCCTAGGGAGTGATTTCTCATTTTTCCTCTCTGTGTCCCTGGAGAGCACACCAACATTGTATGGCAACAACCTAAAATGGTTAGTGGTCATATATTCTTGATATTCTCTTGCTCAAATCAAATCAAAATTTTTAAATGCAATCAAATATTAAATGATTCAATCACTTCTACAATTTTACCAAAGTCCTGAACACACCCAGATTCACACAGTAGTACTTTCAGATATAAAACTTGAAAGCACTAACTCGAAAATGCTTATGCATTCATGTTCAGCAAAGTTTGTTTTGTTATAGTTTAGATAAAGGCTACATTTTAGAATTTGGTCTTACTGGATGGTGATGGGATGTCCCCCAGAGTTTATATGCTGAGACTTGGATACACTGTAAAGGTGTTAAGTGAAAATGTAATACATTCATGGTGTCCCAAGGTGAGGCCTTTGGGTTTGATAAAGAGATTAAGGCAGGACCCCTGCAATTGAATTCTGGTAGGTTTATAAGATAAGAGACCAGATCAGGCAGAAACTTAAGGACAGCTACCCACTCAAGACCCTACCCTCTGCCATTTTGTGGCCTCACTAGAAATTGTCCCATGGACCTCAGACCTCCAAACCATGAGCTCAATAAACCTCTTTATAAATCACTCTGGCTCAGATATCTCTGTTAGCAATGCATAATGGACTAAGACTGCCCCTCTTGAGACAGTATAGTACATCCGTTTTTCCTTATATTAAAGTTGTCCTACATACCATTTCTGGAATAGGTACCTCCAGCTGTGTACCAGAAGGTGCTTGGATGGCCAAAAGTGTATCACCTACTCAAAAAAATAAGTGAATATAAAATATTGTACAGTATACTATGGATCAAAGAATACAGTGGCAAGAATGTGGTCTCTGGAGTCAGAATGCTTGGGGTTAAATCTCAGGATGGGTGACTTTGGGCCTTGGTTTTTAATTCTGCAAAATGAAGTACATGTGGCCTACTGCATATTGTTCTGGATATTAAGGTTTGTTCTGGCTATTAAATGAAATTTTATATAAACACATACATATTACATATATATATATATGTATGTATATACATATATATTATATATGTTTTTCTAAAATGATTCACCTTTTCAAATAGAGAATGAGGGAGCAGCAGGTGGCATAATGGTTATATCATGACTCCTACATGATTGACAGTGGTTGGAGTCCCAGACCCGGTGTCTTGAAACTCACATTAGGCACATGTGCATGTATGCCTAAAATCCTGAGGAAAGAATGGAGGAGAAGGGATTGCAGAGTGGTCAGTTCTCTGGAAGGGTGCTCTCTGGTGAATGCATGTGCCCTATAGCAAAAAATCTCTGGGGAAAAACAAAAGAGAGAGAGAGAGAGAATGCAAGTAATATTCAAGTCTTATTCTGTGAGAGAATATTTTCCACACTCTGGATGGTGATTGACTCATAATAAATGGTAAGCATAGCTTCAATTGACACTTCTTAACATGAACTGACTGAAAGCTATTGAGAAAAGATTGAGTGCATGTCGTTTCTGTGCCACCTATTTATTTCAGAAAATATTTTTATATCATTTTCTGTGCACCGACAATACACCTAGTACTTTTGTTCTTTCACCAAGTAAAATCTGTTAAACTGATCCATAACTATTTTTCACATTGCATTTTAAAGGTAAATTTTAAATGATAAACTCTTCATTTAAATTGAATGCTTACTCATAATTGATGGGTTTGGCATTCTGCTTAATTAAATCTTATCTAGATTGAAAGAAAATAATGTAGTTATATATCATTATTTTCAATTCTCTGCACTTCTTATGATACTCCAAATTATATCATTTTAAATTAAGGATTTATCTTCTTTCCCTGGCATTTGAAAGCATTCCCTTATCATATATTAAATTATTTTTATCAGTAAAAAGAAACTAATCAATGAGATGTGTTGGGAGAAAACAAGCAAGCATAATATATTTTATTTACTTGTCCATTTTGTTGAGTTTCTTTTTTTAGAATTATTTTATTTAAATTTATATTTTCTTATTTATTTATTTATTTATTTATTTATTTATTTATTTATTTATATTCTCTTGCTCAAATCAAATCAAAATTTTTAAATGCAATCAAATATTAAATGATTCAATCACTTCTACAATTTTACCAAAGTCCTGAACACACCCAGATTCACACAGTAGTACTTTCAGATATAAAACTTGAAAGCACTAACTCGAAAATGCTTATGCATTCATGTTCAGCAAAGTTTGTTTTGTTATAGTTTAGATAAAGGCTACATTTTAGAATTTGGTCTTACTGGATGGTGATGGGATGTCCCCCAGAGTTTATATGCTGAGACTTGGATACACTGTAAAGGTGTTAAGTGAAAATGTAATACATTCATGGTGTCCCAAGGTGAGGCCTTTGGGTTTGATAAAGAGATTAAGGCAGGACCCCTGCAATTGAATTCTGGTAGGTTTATAAGATAAGAGACCAGATCAGGCAGAAACTTAAGGACAGCTACCCACTCAAGACCCTACCCTCTGCCATTTTGTGGCCTCACTAGAAATTGTCCCATGGACCTCAGACCTCCAAACCATGAGCTCAATAAACCTCTTTATAAATCACTCTGGCTCAGATATCTCTGTTAGCAATGCATAATGGACTAAGACTGCCCCTCTTGAGACAGTATAGTACATCCGTTTTTCCTTATATTAAAGTTGTCCTACATACCATTTCTGGAATAGGTACCTCCAGCTGTGTACCAGAAGGTGCTTGGATGGCCAAAAGTGTATCACCTACTCAAAAAAATAAGTGAATATAAAATATTGTACAGTATACTATGGATCAAAGAATACAGTGGCAAGAATGTGGTCTCTGGAGTCAGAATGCTTGGGGTTAAATCTCAGGATGGGTGACTTTGGGCCTTGGTTTTTAATTCTGCAAAATGAAGTACATGTGGCCTACTGCATATTGTTCTGGATATTAAGGTTTGTTCTGGCTATTAAATGAAATTTTATATAAACACATACATATTACATATATATATATATATGTATATACATATATATATATGTAGTTCTTAGAACAGGGTAAATATAGTGTTAGTTTTATTCTCACTAACAGATATATGTCAAGCTAATTTTGCTCTGAATCAGTCTCCAGCAAAGTCTCAGATTATTATAAATTTTAACTTGAATTAAATGTTTATTTGAAGAACTTAAACTACTTGATTACTAAGGATACCAGGGTTTAGGCACATTGACAGACGTTTCCCCAAATTTCTTAGAAAGCTCAGGAGATACAGGGTACAACAGAGCAATAAGGCTACCTCTGTTTCCAATGTAGTCTTACAAAGAAAGTCAGATCTCAGTTGACAAGGTACCCAGCAGGATTTCGTTTTGTTTTATTTTGTGTGTCGATAATACACAAGGCTGTCCTTTCAGTAGAACATGCAAAATTAAATATAAATTTGATGCAAATTTTCATTTTACTTGTGTTATAATTATGAGGACATAAGTCCTCCCATTTTAGTTGTCAACACATGATATTGTCATTTCAAAGGGAAAACATGGAGCCTGGGATGGAATGGGATTAGGAATAATTCTGTTGTTTATATAATAGATTTACTTCATTCTTTACTCATGCTCTGGGTTCCATTTTGACCAGCACTCTTGCTTAACAGTTTCATATACAGTGCTAGTAAGAACCGTGTTGTAGTTCAAGTATAGACACCGTGACTCTGTGACCTGGAAATATTGCTTAATCTCACTGATTTAGCTCTTCCTCCACCCTTGCCTCCTTTTCCCTCTCACACATAGTTTATGCCTACTAATGGAGTTAATGAAGAGAAAGTTGTGAAAAGAAGATTTTTGTCATAAAAACAGAAACAAAAGTAGCCTATCAATAAACAGCCCTGTAGAGTGAGACAAAAATGCCCACAATTCCTGAGAACAATGGCTTAGGCTGAGTACATGGGGAATTCTGAATCACTCTACACTAGGCAGGTTGAGTAAAGGAAGAAGAATGTAAGAAATCTAGCAGTACTTACCATTAAAGCAGTTACAGATGTCTTCATGAGTCACATAAGAAAATGTACTGTCCCAAGAGTTAAGAAACATTTACACCAAAGTCTAGACATTTAAATTAAGATAATAAACTTGAAGGCCAAATAACTTTATGACCGAAAGCATGAAGTAGCTGCCACACGAGTTCACATAAAAACCAGCAAAAGATTTTAGACTGGAAAGGCAAAGACAATCAAACATAGAGGCAGGGGCTTCTGAGGGAAGGAGACAGATGGGGAAAAGAAGACCATCAGCAGGAGTGGGAAGCAACCATGTAAACTTCTATGCTGAGAACCTTCTTGGGTCATTGTTCTACTATAAGATGGTCAAATAGGGAAGGCCACAAGAGGAGACAAATGAGAGGCTCAGGAAAATAAAATTGATCACACTCACAGGTCCTAGAGATAGGGTGCACAGCATGCTTCACAGGCCCACACAGGAAACACACTGAGGAGGTGAGGAGGCAGAAGATCAGTGATGGGAGAGTATTAGGCCAGAACTGTTTCTACAGGAAAGGTAAACCGTTGAGGATTGGTGAGTCTGAATTCTGGTGGGCTCTAAGCTGTAAGAGTGGTCCTTAGTTGTCTAGTACCTGGCCCTGAGATGAGAAGGCAGAGGAACAGTGCCTCCTGGGTGTACAGGCCCAATAGAGGAGTTACACCTATGGAACAGTTAGTTCGAATATCAAAGGCAGGCTTCTTCTGGCAGAGCCCTTGCTACTTCTAAGAACTGGCTAACCCAAGAAGACCAGTCTTGCCTCAGCCAGAAAGATGTTTAATATGTCAAAATGAGTTATACAGAAAATTAAATAAAGATGGGTCAAGAGAGAGACAGAAAGAAAATAAAACCATGCTTTGGGGAACTGGGAGTGGCCAAAATCTTAGAAGAGTAGGACAGCAAAGTCCAAAATCAAATAGTTCAATGGTTTTGAATCCTGGGGCTCCAAAATACACTACTTGAAAACCCCATCATTTTCAAATTATTAAGGAGTACTGATTTATACAGAAGAAATAACATGAGATCACCAATTTGTTCACTAAATACAAGATAACATGAAAAATAAATTGAATTGAATATATTATTCTAAAACTCATGAGAGAAAGGTGGTATAAGATAAAATCTGGTAAATGCATAAACCAAGAGAAGCACAGGTCTCTAAGACATTGTTTTCTAAGAAACACAGGCTATACTGCATCATTATTCCCACCCCCCTCAACATAATATGATAGATTCACAAGCTTTGGACCCCATAGAAACTATCTGTGGGTTAATATTAGGTAGGAAGTAGCCTAGATTGATTTGTGAACCCAGGTATCTCATCTTCAAACAAAAATTACTTTTTCAAAACTTGAGAGTTGCTTAATTTTACAACATTGAAATACCTATTTAAAAATACTATGTACTTGGGGGCCAGCAGATGGCATGGTGATTAGGTTGCTAGACTCCCACATGGTCAATGTGAGTGAAAATCATGCCAGGTGCATGTGTGTGTGTGTGTGTGCCCAAGATTCTGGGAGGAGAATGGAGAAGGGATTACGGCATGGCCATCCCCAGTGAGTGTGTGTGGGGGGATTCTCACTTTTCCTCTCACTGCTTCTGACTCTCTCTCCAGAGAACAGACACGCCCTATGGCAAAACCCTCTTAAAAAAATAAAAATACTCCACACCTAACAATTATTTCCAGTATTCACAGACCCCTACCCCCAAAGCACACTTTGGCTTGCAGATTGCATCCTATCAATAAGCAGACTGAAAGTAAATAAATCCTCTTATTTTACTCAGTGCAACACATTACCAACACATAGTAATGCATGGACTATATACATTTGAAAGGTAAAATGTTAAACATGTTAGCATAAATTATTAGAAAATTATTATTAAGTTAAAGTGTTATATTGACTCAGAAAGCTTAACTCTCTAAAATCAGTAGAATACCATCCGTGACCTTCAGGCTAGAATATATTATATACACTTAGGTTCTCTACTTATATGTATAATTTACTTAAAAGGATATCTATTATTAATGGAGTCATCCATCACATTTTTGATGCTTTGCTGTAGCCACAACTTCTGCTGATCAAGTTCTCTTTCCTTCAGTTCTAGATCTTCGATTTCAGCTTTAAGATATCTTAATCTATCTATGACTTCTTTAGTGTTACATCCAGCACCTACACCTCTAAAGACATGAGAATTAATATCCCCAGTAACAGACCTAGGGTACCATCATTGATTTTTGTAATAATAAAAATTGAGTATTAAAATCCTTGGAAAATTGAAGTACCAAATCTTTGGACATATCTGATTGGAAAATGCAATGACAAGAACAATCAGATTACAAAAATTTCAATCTGTTCTAGAATGTTTTTTGGTCATCTGGAATGCCGGCCCAGTAACTTAATTATCAAAAGAATGTCAAAGTTAAAGAGTCCCACCTAGCAGTCCCATAATATATACTAAGTTGCTGCTGGTAAAATAAATGATAACCTTTAAGTGTTTTGATAAGATTTTGGCAAAAATAAAATAAAGTACCTAAGGTCACAGGGAACACATTTAAAGAAAACGAAGTATGTGTTTATTAAGTTCAAACACACAACCAGGCAACGTTAATAAATGACAACATGCACTTCAACTGATTATTATTTAGAAGGTACACATTCCTATGTATAGACATAGTTTCTGTTCTCAAGAAGCTTTTATTTGTAGGGTAGATAAAGACAGGCAAGAAAGATTAATAATGCAAAGCAATATGAGTAACTTCAGGGAGAAAATAGGAACTGAACTTTAAGAGGGTAAATTAAGCAGCAGAGAGATCAAGGGGAACCTCCTGTCACAAGGATGACACATATAGAGGCCCAGAGAAGTGTAGCCAGAGAAAGATGGGGGTCATGGTGTGACTAGGGCATATCTGAAACAGGATTCAGGAAAGATAAGTAAATGTTAGCAAGATCAGATTCTACAGAGCACCAATAAAAAAAGGTAAAATTTTAGAATAGGGTACTGGTTTATAACTTACTTCCACTGGATACTATTTTTTGACTTTTTTTCTATCAGGTCAATTCCTTCTAAGACATTGGTAATATCATAAATTCTTCTTTTTTGCCTTACAGCCAAAGTATCTGCAGCCTGTTTAGGAAAAACAAACAAAGAGAACAATGAAATAAAGGGCGGCTCATATTTTAAAACAAAAAAAGGTTGTATTAAGTTCCCAGCATGAGAGTCCAATTCCAAATTTGACCCAGTCAGTTGCTTGGGAACAATAGCTGGCTATGTTCAAAGCATCTCCCAAACACTGAAATACCAAAGAAATTATTCCATGTAAAAGCCAGCAGATGTTGGAATGGGAAAAAAAATTAAGGTCATGACATTAAGCCCACAAAAATAAAAGATGACAATAAGAATATTTCATGTCACCTTATGGACTAATCCTGAGGAGAAGCTACTAATTGCCTGCCAGTGTCATTTCCTATCTATCTTATTTCTCTGTTCAAAAATAGTCATGTCTAAAAATAGACTTACTTATTTCGGAAACTTTAGGAAACCGTATCTTGATCATTTTTGGTTGGTTATTAAGATACTTGGAGGGCAATTATGAGTTATACACACACTTGTAACACTTGAACTAACTATCCACATTTTTTTAACTCACAATGAAAATGAAAGAATGAATCATGCCTCCCAACACAGTTTTAAAATTAAGAAATCAAAATCTACAGCACAAAGTTGTTCTACTAGCAACTATTATAGACATCTTTGGTAATTTCATTCACATTAAGTAAGATCAGAAAAAGATGACATCCTACCATATTATGAATGAGTCAAGAATGCCGTACAGTTCCTTAGTTCCCACTCATATTTCTGACCTTTGTTCCCTAACAGAACAAAAGAACCTCAAAGAAGAGGTTACTCTACAGCTTTTTTTCCCCCCAGAATGGATTAGGTAACAAACAGCCTATCTTGAATGTAGAATCATGGCGGTAAGGAAAAAACACGTGTATGTCCCTACTGACAATATTCAGCACTTTTTGTAAATGAATTAACAAGATTTAGCTTTACATAATTGGTTACCAGCTCTCCCAGGGCATCACTACTTCTTTGATTCTGTAAAAATAATAATAAAAAAATTTAAAAATCCTATAAACACATCCACTCCCCCATCCCTGCGCTCTCAATATATTATTTGCACCAAGATGTGAATTCATAGCAGGCAAGTGTCTCTGACAGCTCCTGCTCTTTTCACAGGTATTTGATGAAATGTAGGTTTTCTCAACCCTTTTTTTTTTTTTTTTTTTTTGTGCTACCAAAAATCCCAGGCTACTGTGTTCCAATAACTAACTCAAGTCTTCTTTAGGAATGGGATTCATGCCTCAAACTGAATCAGGGCAGTAGCAGGAAGTGGTGGAGAGAAGGGAGAAGGCAGAAGTGGGCTCTTTGGAGTTGTCAACTCTTGACTTGGTCACTCTTAGAGAACCAGGAAAGTAAGAATGCAACTAGGTATAGTTTCACTGATATCTTCTCTCTCTCTCTTTTTTAAAAAGAATTATTTTATTTAACTTTATTTATTATTATTATCATTATTTTCCAGTTTGATCAGAGAGAGAGAGAGATGGAGAGAAAGAGGAAGTGAGAAAGCAAGCCACCAGGTCCGAGACTTGAACCATGGTAGGCCATGTGGGAGTACAACGCCTTTAACCACTGTGCCACTTGCCAGCTCCGACTGATATCTTCTTTTGTGCCTAGCAATTTTCTTCCTATTTCATCTACCTTTAGAGAATCCTGTTCTTGACTTCGAGGCCGTTATTCTGAAGATAAATCGTCTACTGCAGGGACTGGATAGTGGGACAGTAGTAAAACATTCCATTCTGTGAGGCTGACCCACATGGAAAAGTTCCAGGGTGGCATTTGGAGCCCTCCCTGCGTACACCAGGCATCTGTGTGTCCCTGATCCAGGGCTCACACATGCCTGGTAGAGGCTGGAGATGAATCATGGCATTAAGACGCTGTCGGGGTGCCTTCTGTCTCAGTCCCTCTTGCTCATGGAAGACATAAGTAAACTGAAAAAATAAAGTCTAAACTGTAAACATCTGAAGTTGAGGATTCCTTTTTTCTGAAGCAACTCTCTTAGGAAGTAACCCAGAGCACTCCAAGCAGTGGCTCTGCTGAGGGTCTCTATGTACTCACATAAAAAGCATTCGCGGCCATAGCAACAGCTCCCTGGCTTGATGTTAGAACCTGTTTGTATGCACCATACCACAAGTGCTTTCCTAGGTCATTACAGAAAGTGCCAGGAGATTTCACTTCTAGGCCAAAAGTTTTAGTTCCTTGTTTATATTTACTACTACTTAACAGTCACAACATGTAACCCTTGGTTTCCAAAACTAAGCGTTATGTAAATACTTTCCCATTTAAGTAGACGACAAAAAGGCAAAAAGGTGTACAGGCCACATCACTTGTAGCAGCCGCACCATTCTTTAGAAGTCAGATTGTGGACTCAGACACACCAAGAGCCAGTCCAGTGCTGCCGTGTCCTGTCTTCAGCTGGTCTCTTTAGCCCACCAAGTCCCATCTCCTACTTTGTAAAATGGGGTAACAGCATATAGGGAATAGGACTATCGTGAGGGTTAAGCTGGACAATATTAGTGCGAAGTCTGCTGCAGAAACATTTAAATGTTGACAACAGCCTTATCCTGAAATACAGGCTAAAACAGGATCAAGAGTAAGATTCAGAGCTTGTGCATACGTAATATGGCACCTACCTAGTTTCATATAGTGTTTTAAAAAGTGTGTAAATCTTGGGGCCTGGCAGGTGACATGGTGGCTGGCCATGGTTTGAGTCCTGGACCTGGCAGCTTTCTTTCTCACTTTTCCTTTCGCTCGCTCTCTCTCTTACTGTGTCCCTTTCTTCTCAAATTAAAATAAGTATATAAATAAAATAAAAGTTAAATAATTCTTTTTTAAAAATGTGTAAATCGTTAAAAGCTTTAATACATCATTTGAGACTTTCATACTTGAAATCATACCATGAGCCCTGTGCCCCCCACCCCCATCACCACCACCAGTGTCATTTTTTCATTTACCAGATAATTTTGGGCTTAGTTCTAGGCACAGTAGTGACAGAACTAAGTCCCTGCCTCCAAAGAACGAAGGGGAGTTGAGGTGCATATAACTGTATTTAGAGGGAATGCAAGCAGGAGAATAGCACTACATTAAATAGGATGTTCGGACACAAGCTCCCTGATACTCCGACAAGGTGACATCTGAACTGACTGGAGCAAGTGACCCGTGTGAATATCTGGTAGAAGAGCACAGTGGGCAGAGGTGGCACAAGGCAGAGCAAGCACAAGAGCCCTGAAGTGTGAAGTGCACTTAGTGCCTCTGAGAAGAGGCCTGCAAACCAGTGAGGCCAGCAGAGTGTTTTAAGCCTCCTGGTCCCAGACTTGAACCACAGTCGACTAGGTGGGAGTTCAGCGATGTAAACCATTATGCCATCCACGAGTCCCATGATTCCGGTTTTTCACTTGAGCAATTACAGACGATGTGTACTACAGGAGGTAGGGGGTTAGGAAAGTGATATAGGTGTAGAAATTTAGGGGTCATGGAAATCAGGAATCTAACCTTGGACATGCTAATATCCAAAAGGAGAAGTCAAGATGACCATTTTACACAAGAATATGTGGAGTAAGAGAGAGACAAATTTGGTAGACATCAGTGAATAGACATTTTAGGCCATAAAATGGAATTCACTGGATTTACCTAGGAGGTGAGCACAGAAATGGGCTTAAGGGTCAGGTTGGAATAGTCTAGTATTTAAGGTCTAGAAAATGAGGTGCAACCTGCCACTGAAGCAAGAGAAGCAGGAAGAGTGGGGTCTTAAAACCAAGGGAAGAGAGTGTAAGAGACAGGAATCACACGGCCAGCAGGTGGCATGCTGGTTAAAGTGATGGACTCCCACATGGCCAACTACAGTCTGAGTCCTAGACCTGACGGTCTGTTCTTGCTCTCTCTCTCTCGTACACACATGTGCCCTAGAGAAAATTTAAAATAATAATTAATTAAATTAAATAAATCATTCTTTAAAAAAAAATAAAGAGTGATCCAGTCAGGGCAATTCATTGAGAACTTATCAGTGGATATGTCTTTGGGATGATCACTGGTGATCTTGATTAGAGGTTTACCTGCAGAGTGGTGGGGCCAAAAGACGTAATGGAGAAATTTCAAGAACAAGTGGAAGAACTAGAGCAAATGAGTCTTTTTTTAAAGAGTTCTACTAAAAGAGAAACAGAGAAACAGAGAAACGGGGCAGAATGTGTAGGGGAGAAACAGGAACTCAAGGAAGTGGGATGATTAACAATGCACTAGACAGGAGAGACTACAGTTCGCGATGGCCAGAGGTAGAGAAGGGAGGATGAGAATCAGACAAGCAGAGAGACTGGCCATGGATGATAACAGTAACAGCAAAGGACCGGGATGCAGACACAAGAGCACTAGCAGGTAAGGCAGGGAGAGAGGCTAGACACTTCCTCCTGGTTGCATTTTCTCATCAGCATTGGGGTGAATGAGGGGATGATTAACGGTTGGGGAGACGGGAGAAAGTGTGAGTGGCTGAACACCATTGGTCCTTTCAAAGTCAGTGGTCATGAATTTAAAGGAAGATCCGTCAGCATCTTGGTGCGTTTTTCTTCAGCCCTGGAGAACTGTCTGGGAATATACAGGGGGCAGACAGAGAGGAAAGGGAGTCGCCATCCACATCCCATGCTTGCCACTGTAGTTGTTGATGAATGCACATGTGCGGGGTTGGCAGGTGGTGTGGTAGTTAAGGTGCTGGACACCCACATGGTTGACCACAATTCGAGTCTCGGGCCTGGTAGCTTGCCTTTTCACTTTCTCTCTCTATCTCCCTCTCTGGTCAAATAATAACAATAATAATGGATAAAGTTAAAGAAAATAATTCTTTAAAAATTGCACATATGCATGCAACAAATTTACTGGAAAAGTTTACATTTACTGTAACAGGATTTGACCTATTTGGCCATGAAAGAATCATCTAATTGTATCACACTAACTCAATTTACAGGGAAATAATAAAACTAATAAAAATAACCCTCTGAGAGAAATCTCGCCTCCAA